AGAGGATGGGGAGGGGGAGGACGAGGAGGAGGAGAAGAAGATTTTTAAACTGCCCTCCCCTGTAAATATAGGGTTCAAGGCGGTGTAAACAGTAAAATACATTCATATAATAAATACATAATTAAAACTGTTAAAATACATAAAAAACACAACAATTAGCCTAATAGATGACACTAGGAACTTCCAGTCGTGCCACTGCCTCACAGGGAGAGGCAGAGAGTAGGAGTGCCAGACAGATGGAACCATCACTGTCCTCAACCAAACGCCTGGAGGAACATCTCTGCCTTACAATCCCTGTGGAACTGCATAGATGTTGTTTGACAGAGAGTTCCACCAGGCTGGAGCCAGGGTGGAAAACACCCTGGCTCTGGTAAAGGGCCGCCTGATGTCTCTCGGGCCACACCATTGACATGGGCTTGGATATACACTGTAAACACTCTACAACATCAATGGGCACTTTTGGCAAAAAGATTGGCTACCAGTTGAGGTAAAGGGCATTTTATGCTATCTGGGTTTTTTTTAACACCTCCTCCTCCCTTCAGCTTTTGGGAACTGTCATACATATGAAACTGGCCCTGGCTGGCGACCACAAAGAGGCAGTTTTGCTGTGTGCAAATTCAGAATATGATAGGGTAGGTGGCTGAGGGGGAAATCATCAGCAGGTCTATTCAGAAGTCCCATTTTCATTGATAGGGTTTATTCCTATGAAAGAAAGCGTTCCCAGGATTCCAGCCTGCTTGTGCTCACCAGAAATACAGAACAAAGACAAAACAAGCAAAACAGGAGGAAATACTGATGAGGACACCTCCGCCTTCCTTACTGCTTTCTAAGGGTTCCAAAGAACAGCCAAGTAATTGATAATGTCCATACGGAATCGGCTGTAGAAATGAACAAATTGTCCTCTTGCTCTAGGAACCAGATTGGGTCTTTCCTATTATGACAGCCCACTCAAGATAAGATGCCAAAAGCATGTACTGAAATTGGCACAAAAATTAAAGCCTGAAAAACTTGGGAGGGGGGGTGGACATTGATATTTTTTTTTACCTTTGTGTTTCAAGATCTTTAGCTACCCTTTCATGTATTCAAGCTGTCTCCAAAACAAAACAGAACTCAAAACTTGTTTCTCTAATCTGCACAGATGGGAGATGTAAACACATATATAGAATACCAGCCTGATACCCGTGCTTTGCTACGGTATTTATGTTCCAGAAATCCAGTTATAATACTGATGATGTGAAGTCTGAAATGTAACATTTGTTGTAGGGTTTCTAATGAGAAGATTGTAGTGTAAAAAAATTAAGTGAGGCATGCGTACTTTTTTTCTCTCTACTGAAGGACCTCTCTGTAGATCTGCCCTCAAATGCTAGGATCACCAGGCTGCTTGGTGAGCTAACTCTGGAGCAGGCAACATAGAACTGTCCATTTAAGAAGCAGTCATCTGTGTCGTGAACTCCTGACACCTTTCACAAAAGTGATGGCCTTTCTACTTGTGTTCCTGGATTGTTTTGCTCATATGGAGACAGTGTTGTTCTGAACACCTCAGGGTGATCTCACTGGTACTTGGTCTACGCAGCTCAGTGCCCCACAGGAGTACTATGTGCAAAAGTCTTTGCTGCATTCCTAAGTTGCCTCCTCCTTGTAGCGTTGGTGTATCTGGCTCGATGTTTGCCAGGAGCTTTCTTGGGGGCAGTAAGAGGTGAGAGATGTAAGGGGGAGTTGGTGTGAGGGAGTGATGATGTGGTAGACATTTCTTCAGGTTCATGAAGGAGGCATGCATCAAAATGGCTCCTAGAAAGGTCCCCATGAACATTCTCCCCATGAACATTCATTAACTCAATTGCCATGCTGGCTTTTTTGAAAAATAGGGTGGCCAAGTCTTACCGTCTTAATAACGGGGGAGTCCTGGACCCGGTCAGGAGTTCTTTCGTGATGACGAGCCATAGAGTTTTCAGGCTGGTTGCTAGAGTGTCGCCTGGCGATGTGCCCAGCATGATGACGTCATTTCTGGGTGACGTCATCGTGCCGGGCATATCGGCCCAATCTGGCCACTTTGGGGGTGGGGTTCCCCTCGTCAGCCGGATCCGGACTGGCGGGTTGGGGGCCCTTTCGGCTGGGAACCTGGCAACCCTATTGAAAAATGTCTATTCAGGAGTCTTGAATTGCTGATTTCTGTAACTCTCCTCAACTGTCTGCAGTCTCTTCTAACAATCGGGGGAACACATTTTGCCCCTTTTTTACCCCCTTAGGGTAACCCCACTTTTTTTTTTTTTTTTTTTTAGAGCTTTGTGGAATGTGGGAATGTGCTGTGTTCTGGGAGCCTGGGCCCCACCTGTGCTATGAACTCAGTCTCTTTTAAAATTCTGGCTAGATGGTATAGAACACCATTAAAATTAAAACACATTAGTAGAACAAGAGTCCAGCGGCACCTTCAAGACCATCAAAGGTTTATTCAGGGGTCATTTCGTAGAAAAAGAGGTGCAGGAGCTCATTAGCATAACTTATTTGCATATGCCACACCCCCTGACGGCAGCGTCCCTGATGGATTAAAGTGCCCTGGTCCTGCTCCTACACCTGACAGACACCCGCCTGTCTGGTGTTGGGGGGGATTATGTTTAAAGGTATCAAGGAGGCTGGGCCAGCAGCAGGGCTAAGGCAATCCTGCTGAGCAAACCTCCCCGGTGGTTGTAAGCATCCCGCATCTGCTCCTACACCTGACAGGCAGCTGCCTGTCCAGTGTAGGAGGGGGAAGAGGGAGGAGTATTAGAAGCTACTTTGAAGGCGGGGCTGGCAGGATCACTAAGGTGTTACTGCTAGGGCGGGCTCCCTT